GATATTTATTTTTGTTTCCCCAGGTTTCAATAATTGTTATTAAATTTAAAAGGGGGGTTTATGAAAGGGGTTTAATAAACCAGCAAAAATAGTGAAAATTGTGATTTTATTTTTTAAAAAAAAAATAAATTAAATTCCCATGACATATAAACCCATCCGACAACAGAAATGTCTTCTTTTATTTTTGGGAACAGTCCCTTTTATTTCTTTTAAGGAAAAATTTGCACTCCCGGTTTTGCTTTTGATAGAAAAAAAAATGAGGAGAAATGAGCAAAGCTCAACGAAACACTAAACCTTGAAAAAAACACTTTTATGGGAAAAAAGGGTAATGGGCTTCAAAAAAAGTTTTGGGGGGGGTTCTCCGTATTATTTATAAAAATACATTATCAAAATGTGTTTATTATCTTATCGATTTTTTTAATTAAACTTTTTTATCTAAAATATCTTCATTTATTTTCCCTATATATTTTTTCTTTTTTTTTATTATAAATGTCATAAATATTTTAAATTATTTCAGGAGAGCACGAAATACAATATCTTTTAGGGTTCATATGCGCTATCATATTATTTCTTATTTTAATCTCAGCATTAAGTAGTACAACTTGAAAAAAAAATGAAAGAGTTTTAACCAGGTTTCGAAAATAAGATAGATACAGAATTCCCTTAAAGAAAGTACCACAAACCGGCCAAAATTGAGAAATGTTGCAGGCTCGATTTGATTAGCCCCGTTCATGGACGGTACTGGACAAGGGCAATGCTTACCATCCACGCCCCCCTAAGACACCGGCTAAGCAGAATTCAACATTTAAACAGGAAATAGTAAAATTTTGAATTTAGAAACATCTCCGCAGATGTGTTTCATACGGCGGTTATCATGGAACCCTTCAATGTGACACTTCCGTGCCATTCCATGAAAATGCGTATGGTCCCCAAGTTAATAAACAAAGCGTGTGCCGCTACAAAGAGAAAACAATGGGCGGAACTGAATAAAATGGAATTTTGAAGGGGATCAGAGGTTAATGGAAGCCTGCATATCACAGATAAGACGTTCAAAAGACACATTTAAGCAGGCAACATATCCTTAAGGTGATTCAACATTATTCAGTAGGATATTGGAACCACCCAACTAGCAAATGCCGAAAAGTTGAAAACTAAAATACACACGCACAGACAATATGACGTGGCTGAACGACCTTCAAGGATCGAAAATATTAACATCATGGAGTTAATATGTACGCGGAGACTTTTACAGCCGCCACACGGCACAAATAACACGGATGTGATCTTTAAAAATAGATAAATACAGAACCCTAAAGAAGCCCAACACGCAAAAATTGAAAAATGTGCAGCTCGGTTTGATTGAGCCTGTTCTATGGACGGTTACTCGGAAAGTGCAAAAGTTCCGTCACGCCCCCCTAGCACCGGACTTAAGCAGAATTCACATTTAAACAGGGAAATAGTAAAATTTTGAATTTAGGAAACATCCGCAGATGTGTTTCTTACGGCGGTTATCATAGGAACCTCAATGTGACACTTCCGTTTGCCAATTCCATTGAAAAGCGGCGTTATGGTCCCCCAATAATAAAAAGCGTGTGCCCTAAACGAGAACAATGGGCGGGGACTTGAATACAAATTTGGAATTTTGAAAGGTATCAGAGGTTATTGAGCCTGCAATCACAGATAAGACGTCAAAAGACACATTAAAAACGCAGGCAACATATCCTAAGGTGATCAACATTATTCAAGTAGTGAATATTGGAACCACCCAACTAGAAAATGCCGAAAGTTGAAACTTAAAAATACCACAAAGCACAAACAATTATGTCGTGCTGAACGAACTTCAAGGATCGAAATATAACATCAAATTGCATTTAAATGTACGGGGAACTTTTTACCAGCCGCCACACGGGCACAAACTAACACGGATTGATCTTAAAATTAGATAATTACAGAACCCCTAAGAAAAGCCCAACACGGCAAAATTGAAAATGTTGCAGCTCGGTTTGATGAGCCTGTTCATGGACGGTACTGAAAGTGCAAGTTTACCGTCACGCCCCCCTAGCACCGGCTTAAGCAAGAACCCTTCAACATTTTAAAACAGGAAAACTAGTAAAATTTTGAATTTTAGAACATCCCAGATGTGTTCATACGGCGTTTCATGGAACCTTCAATGTGACACTTTCCGTGCCATTCCATGAAAAGCGGGCGTATGCGTCCCCAAAGTAATAAAAAGCGTGGCCTAAACGAGAAAAACAAGGCGGAACTGAAAATAAAATGGAATTTGAAAGGGGATCAGAGGTTATGAAGCCTCAATATCACAGTAGACGTCAAAAGGACACATTTAAAAAAGCAGGCAACATATTCCTTAAGGTGAGTAGAATATTGGAACCCCAACTAGGAAATTGCGAAAGTTGAAACTAAAAATACCACAACACAACAATTTATGTCGTGCTGAACGACCTTCAAGGATCGAAAGATTAACATCATTGATTAATGTTACGGGGAGGCTTTTACAGCCCCACACGCGACGAATAACCACGGGATGTGATCTTAAATAGATAAATACAGGAATCCCCTAAAGAAAATAGATAAAGACCCAACACGGCAAAATTGAAAATGTTGCAGGCTCGGTTTGATTGAGCCTGTTCATGGACCGTCTGGGGAAAGTTTGCAAGTTACCGTTCCACGCCCCCTTAGGCACCGGCTTAAGCGATTTCAACATTAAACAGGAAATAGTAAAATTTGAATTTAGAAACATCCGCAGATGTGTTCATACGGCGGTTATCATGGAACCTTCCGTGCCATTCCATAAAAAGCGGCGTATGGTCCCCAAGTAATAAAAAGCGTGTGCCCTAAACGAGAAAACAATGGGCGGAACTGAATAAAATGGAACTTTGAAAGGGGATCAGAGGTTATGAAGCCTGCACTAGCTGAATTGGTTTTATGTATCGAGTTATAGAGTCAAACGAAGATAACATCTCGTAAAATATAATGTGTATAAATTCATTAGTAATTATTTGGTTAATCACTTCAAGTTTTCCTATGTTTACCTGCGTTAATCTTTTAATGGACTGTAATGCTTGTATTTTTAGAACCGACGAAAATTATGTTTATCATGCTAGGATTTAATGACATCTAAGACACTTGTTTCTTCATTTAGTTTTAACGCCGATTGTTATACATTTTATCATATCTAGGCGATCGGTCCATGTAACCGATTTTTTCTTGATAACTAATCAATAATTACCATAAATTTCATTGTATGTGACCGGCTAATAATCACATATGACTCCTGAATGATTGGTGAGAGGTAATGACCATTAGACACAATGTCCAATATCAATTGCGAATGAGAAGTTTCACCTCACCAAAGCATTGACCAAGCGACCCCTTGAGTACAAATCCGATGCTCTCCTTATTGGATTAGGCGGACATCTAAGATAGATGGATAGGTTTTATTACAATTCACCATGTACTATGTGTCTTATTATCAAATTTATTTTTTATCCAGCAAAATTGTAGCTACATATATATCTTTTTTATTTTGTTTTAAATGTAACATTATTTGTACAATTTTTATCATTTTTAATAATCTCCTACTTTTTGTTTGTCAAATGTAATATCTCTTTAAAAACATCTAATAGTTGTTAAATAAATTTTTTCGATTTATGATCAACTCCGGAAATCACATGTGAAATCAGTAAAATCTGAATGAGCGTAACTATATCGAATGTTTCGATTAGACGTTTTACAATTAACAAGATATTTTGTAATATATTATTTTAAAATACCTGTTATAACATAACAATGACATACATGTATTTCAAAGCATCTAATAAGGCACGTTGTTGTTACAAAATGTGATAAACATCCTAGATAAAAATCTTAATAATTCATATGCTCAGGATCAACAACATTTTCAATTTCCATTTTTAACATCAATTAAATACTCCTCAACAGAAAACTACACAAATACAAATACGACAATCTTTTTTGTGCTGATTTTGCATCAATCAAATTGATTCGAAGACATTTAGGTAGGTAAAGGACAAAGGGAAAACAGTCGTAAACAAAGTCATTAAAAATCAATTGAGTTTCTCCTTGCACTTTTGTAGTCTAAGAATAGAAAAGAATGTTTTACAAGGATAATTTACTACATCTACACTATTCATTATTTCTCAAGTGCAAACTTTGATTTTTGATTGCAATTTTGTACAAAAGCTCCTAATGACAAAAGTACATAAAGGTCTTACACATAGTTGGATATCATGTAAGATAACTTGAACGCATACCAAAATGATTTGTAGATGAGTAGTTTATGCTTAGCTCAATGACCTAAAACCAATACTGTTGTCACTCTCTTCAAAATTGCTATGTTCAATAATGTTTGTTGATCCCCCAAACATTGATGAACTGATGTAATATGATAAACAAGATCAACAAGGAATGGCGGCGTTCAAAACCTATATATTTTGAAAACAAATCTTTAATTAATTTGAGTATCGAGTGATATCTAAAAATTCGTTATATTATAACATGAAAAATATGTTTTATCATATATTTAATATGGCCATTTAAAGTATAAACCACTCTGTATTTGAAAGTGATGTTAAAGAAATGAGAATAATACATTTCACCTATAGTGTCGCATACATATTGTAATGAGATTCTATGACTAAATAAGATAAACGATCATTCAAACGAGATATACATGTATACATCAAAATACAGTGCCATAATTGAGAAAGAAAAGTAACTTTAACAGGGACACAGTGATTCAACAACATGTAATATATATCAATCTATATAGCTAATGAAATTAAAAAGGTAATGTTGCGATAAAGACTGTTTTACTACAAGATTAATATGAACACACCCTAATTCATCCTTTACTAATTACTTATTTCATAGTTCTGTATACATTGTACATAAAAAATGTCAGCTAGACGTTTGCTTGATAATGTTTTCAGTTGCTTAAGGAATTTTATCAAACTGAGTATTGAATTATAAAATATAATCTAAACAGATTTTCAAATTATAATACTTGTGGTATGGTCATAAGATTATATGGTCTTTACCACTTTAAGATTTTTCGGCAAATTACAATAAATAAACGCTTTAGCCTATAGTTATAAGATTACGTGTCAAGGATGGTCATTACCAGTGGATGGTTTTAGCAAATGATAATCAAATACAAATGATTAACATATATGCGGTATCGTATTGTACCTTAAGATTTCCTAAAAGGAATACAATTTCCCGTTTGTTCAAATCTTTAAACAATATTAAAAGCAGTCTCATTCGAAAAGCATCAGATTGTCATTTAAACATCTCTATATTCAAGCATGAGAGAATGAAACATTTATCTTGTTTGTTTTTTAGTCTCTCTTTATTGCGTCATACAAATTGTCTCTCTTTTCACGAGAAAAGTCATCCAGATCTGTATATTGTGTCTTGCTTGAGTCGTCTGTACCCAAAACTTGTCCTTGTATGTCCTGGTCGTTTGTTGTGTACGCTACATTGGCATAGTGTCTAGAGAAAGAAAGTAAAATATGCTCTAAAATACAATTTCTATAAACCATACTATGCACATGCCATAAACTTAACGTAGAGGTTCTGAGATACTTTAACGTCAATAGTAGATTCAATTTTAATCATAGATATATGGAACTATATAAACGGTTGTTTATATATAACGCCTTGGATTATATACCAAATAACCGTTTATACAGGCAATATAACATGTTAAGAATCTTCATAACGTTTTGTAATACTGCAAACATTCTTTATTAGAGAACAAATTAAAATTACTTTATATATCGACTGCTGTCGTTTATATTGATAATATTATCCTATGAAAAATGACGTTACAAACGTACAGTATTATTAAAATTGAAATTAAAGCATTATACTCATTGATGTCAGTTCTGTTTACATTGTAATCAACTATTTGTCAAGAGGCGGAAATTATTACGAAATGCAGATCTTTATCATGTACGATTTAAATTAAGGCAGTGTTTTTTAGAAGTAATGCGATTGTTTATTAATGAGGATATCGATACATTAACATCTATATAACTAACGTGTATACGTACTGTTGTTGAGTTGAGCCGATCACACTGTCTTTGTCTGAAATTACAATAAACCAAACTATCAGAAAGTTCATATTACGTGTTATTGTTTTTTTTGGCTGTAACACAAGATAAGAATACTATTTTTATATAATCTTACAATGTACAAGAAAAGGATAATTAACATGTTATCATTGTAAATATATTATAATGCATAAACTATTCCTTCCAAGCATGTTACTATTAATGTGTAATGTAAAAGATTATGAACATGTGCACCTGTCTTAGTAACTGTTGTTCTTCTATTCTTATTGATTGAGACATTTCGTTTCCATAAAATTGTAATTGATGCAGCATAAGTTGTTACAATTACAGTGAGGACTCCACAGACTATAGCAATTGCCACTATACTACCACAATTACTTCCTTCTTTGCTGACTTCCGAACAAATACTATGTAAATCTAAAAATTTAAAACAAAACGATTATTCAACTTAAGATAAAAGATAACATTGTTAACGAACTTTTAATGAATTTGAAAAAATCTGACATTTCTGAGAAAACAATGTATAAAAAGATAACTACAATATTTGTCTGTAATAAAGAAAAACAAAACATAACGTAGCATATTAAACATATTTCTAACAAAACTTTTCTAAATCTAAATAATTCATACACTTTTTCAAACAATTACCTTGTCTTACAAGGAAAATATATTGGTTATAAGAACCAATGCTGTTCTCGACAGACACACGGTCTGACATTGATTATTACCCAAAACAAAGAGTAAAGTTACTCTGAATATTACTCGTACCTTTTATATTGACACTAACAATAACATCAGCAGATTTGGAGTACGGGAAGCCGGTGTTTTCAGCTTTGCATTGGTAATCTCCTGTCATATACTTGTCGACTGATTCAATATATAATGTTTCATCGTTAGAATTTATTACTTCACCACTTGTAACATTAATCCATGTATAGGTGCAACCAGGATAACAATCTGCTGTACATTCTATTGACATTATCTCTCCTTCTGTTAAAACATATGGTGATGTTACGTTAACACTGACCAAATCTGGACCATCTGGTTTTATGAAATATTAAAGGAAAAACCATTTAGTTATTGTAAGTCTTAATTAATATTTCATATACAAGTATATAAAAATGATTAACAATTTATGGAAATATAAAGACATCTTTTTTGTTTTAAAAAAGCCATTAATCTTTTTTCCAGATATTTATACATCACAACAGCAACAGGTGTCAAGTGATTTGTGGCAGCCATAAAAAGTTGCCCCGTTTTTCACTTCAGTGTTGTTACATATTTTATTTGTCTGGTCTATCGAGATTATTGAGTCCAGAACCTTTAAGGGTTGAATATTTAGTAACGCTCAATTCGGTGCTACCGAAGGATGAAGAATGCTGCATGTTTTTAAATTATCCCTCATGTACAGATTCAATCAAACTGAGTCTGCAATTTTCATGTAATTTTGCTGTTTTTAATGCTTCCGAGGGATCATGTTTTCCAGATATTTACTCGCCAGTATGAGGACTGGTCTTTTCTAAGATGTTTAAAATAGTGTAATAAAAATAATCCCTAACACGGCAAAATGGAAACTGTTGCAGGCTTGGTTGGATTGACAAAGTAGTGTAAAAAAACTTACAATGCACGTCAAATGAGAATAGTTCACTGATGTTTGATGTGTATCCATCAGTGACATCTTCTGAAGCTGTACATGTAAACTGTTTATTTGCATCTTCCTTCAAAATGTTTGATACAGTTAGTTTATCCTTACTAGGTGTGTATGAATATTTCGTACTAGTCGGATTCTCTATATTGTTAACTCGCCATGAGTATTTCAAACTGAGGCTGTGATAGCTGGGTGTGGTAGTTGATGTGCTACTACATGTTAATATTGCACTTTCTCCTACAGATGGTGTTTTATTCACTGTCACCGTTGGCTTCTTAGGGATACCTGCAATTCATATAGTTTAAATAAAACAGTTTTCCAAAACTATTATTACAACCTCTGACAACTGTACCTGAGAATCTATTATTTGGCTCTGAGGTCTAAAGCGTTGTTACTTTTTGCTTATAAACCGGCGGGTGCTGGCGATTACGTATGCCAGCGAAGCCGGGATTTTTTCTGATATACACGTATTTGAAGTTTCTAGTTGTGAACTAAAATGTTCATAAGCTGAAAGACTTTGTACGTATTGCCTGGTTCCTTAAACCTGGTTAGGAAACCAAAAATGTTTGTAAATTGAAAATAAGTATTTCCGTCACCATAAGTGATGACTTGCAGAAGAGTGTGTGTATTATCTTTGAGTACATACTTACTTTTATACATAATAGTACACCTTCTGGCAACTTTGTCAGGAAATCGCTCATAGGCTGATTGTTGTCTCGTATCGTTACGAACTTGGCTTTTGATTAATAAGTTCTTTATTTAGTTTATTCAAAAAGGATTTTCGTGTTTTTTTTTCAGAGACAAATATAGAGAAACTGCATTGTGTATGAAAAGAAAATCTGCTAACTGCACTTTCATACACATTTGAAAAGTAAAAAGGTTTTGTCTAAATCACATCCAATTGTGTCATATTTCGAATTATCTGAGGTTAATAGATGTATTTCAGGGTTTTTTTATTTTGAGTTTTTAACGAACGATAGAAAGAAACATTTAAAAAATACCTTATATCTTACCCCTACCTAACATGTATAAACTGTTGCATTTTAAAGATGTCCCTGGACTTGTCAATATATAAAAGCCTGTATCATTTTCTTGGATATTAGGTAGTGTTACAACTACAGTGCCATCTGTATCACCAGTTATGTTGAGACCTGGTAATACATCAGTTGTAGGACTCCTGTCTGGATAGTATGTTATTCTAGCCTTAAAACTATTGTCAAAAAACCTGACGTCAAACTGTATAGGTGAATTCAGATTTGTAAGGTCAGCAGAGAATTGAAGAACAGCATCGGTGTTGACACGACTGAATACTTTCCTGATTGGTGATACACATGGCCATGCCTTGACTGAAACAATTAACAGTTATACAGAAAATACTGTCCTAAATTCAGTTATACATGTACTTAATTAATTTATTCATTTTATCACACATCCGTGCCGATTTTGCGACTCCGTAAATATGGTATTGCACGGACGTGCATATATTATGACGTGACGTCATTAGCGTTATACAAACATAATGTAAAGACGCGCTAAATATTAGCGTTAAACTATAACCGCGTCAAAGAAAAATGACTCTTATTTCACTTTAAACGGTATTTATTTTAGGTATGTGATAAATATAATATTAAATTCGTGTAAGTTAATTACTGAATTTATTGCACTCGTTGAATAAAGTAATATTATGCTCGCCAGAGGCTCGCATAATAGTTTTATTCAACATGTGCAATAAATTCAGTATTGAACTTACACTCATTCAATATCCTCTATGTAATACCAAAGAACATCAAAGATTTTAAAGATTCTGACCAAAAATGAAAAATTTCTACATGGCAACACCTACAACTTGTGTCCAAGTACAACTCATATGCAATCGAACTCTTTTAATATTATCAGGTTATGACAGGTTTATCAGCTAGTTTCGATTAGATGTGATATCCAGATTGTTAACAGTGTTTTTCTTTGATTGAATATGTGACATAGGTTACAATTCCAGTTAACCATTTATTTTCATCGACTAAGATGTTTTAAGACACACATTAAGACAAAGTTACTTAATGTATGCATAAATATACAATTCAAATCTAAGTCTTCTTCAATCTTTCTTTAGACAGCGGACGAACGGACGACAATTTATGTTCAATGGAGCTAAGTATACAAATAATGTATCAATTATCAACCAGAAGAAATTTTATTATTCAAGACACGAAACGAAACAACATTACTTTCCAAATTAAAATTGCAAACTTAAATAAAAAGGCTGATACTGAATTTTCAAATCTTGAAATTGTACGATTAGATATGGTCATTGTAAATATAAATAGTATCTCCAGTTATCAGAATTAGACAACATTTTGAAAATAATCTCTTTCTCAAAATATAGTATAGCTAAGTCAACAATGATATAGCATTCAAAATCCTCCAAAGTGAATAAAAGATTAAAATGTTGCAATATCGGTTTGAAAAATTTGCAGCTGTAGTCAACAAAGCTTATGTTGCTATATTCATAAATGGCAATAACTGTTTTATATCAAGAAGCTGACAAGTATCTGTTTGCAATTCAAGAATACAAACATTTTCGTATTTTTATGAAAATTGTATTTTTTTCTCAACGAAATTTCAATAAACTCTGCAATCACACAAGTTATCATCACTGTAGTACTTATCCGAGTGAAGTAATCAATGTAGATTTTATCTGTAGAAAGGTGACATGCTGCTCTGTCTATGAGATTAATAGTTTCGTCATTTAATAGACATGTTAACTGATCATTACTCATTTGATTAACACCAAAGAACAAACAAACCATTTTATTCGAACAATTATACAGTTATGCAGTTAAGGACTAACATAACAACAATGTTACTTTAAGATCGCCGAGCGTAACTACCAAACAAATGTACGACAAAAAATAATACTTTTCCATTGAATTATTAGCATAGTCAGATAAATGACAATGTTTTCGTTTTGACGGAATACTTTGCAAAATGTTTTGCTTGAGGTGTGGAATACCTGCAAAATGTGCATGTATAAACTTAAAAAAGACGTGTGGAAGATTATGAATGTTATTGTGGACCTTGCTGCATCCAATTATTATTTTGTATTAAGGTAGTACACCTCTAATGGGCACTATTCCAAACATAAATAAACTTATTATTTTCCAAAAGTACATCATCTATCTCATATGTTTACAAATTTTTAAGGAATTTCACCGCCCTGAAAAATTTTTTATGTTTCTTTGACACACCCCTTTTTCTTAAAACGTAAATTTTGCTTACCCACCCACCAAAGGTAAACCGAAAATAACTGATCTTGACTATACATGAAAATAGTCAAATTTGATATCAAAATGTAATGTAGACATTGGAGAATTACAACAAGAATTATAAATATAAAAGTTATTCTGAGAATTATTTTGAGAATTCAAAATTAGTGTTTTTCATTTTTAGATCAAACATAAAATTGTTTAAATTTAGCCCAAGTTGCTATGCAACAGACATAAAACTCGACAATTTTGCACAAAAATACTGTTGGGGCATCACTTTTGGATATTTAAATTTTATAAGTATACTATTCTTGTTTAAATATGGGAATGTTTTACCGTCTAGATATTTTGTAAGAACAATTTTCAATTTAAGTAGTGTCTAAATCTGAGGTCTATTTTTCTTAAAGAGTTTAAGTATTTTCACCACCAAATTGTAAGTTGTTCAATATTTTCAAATAAAATTATGTGGAAATTATTTAAAATTCAATAAAGTATGTTAATAAAAACTAAACGTATGGTATTCATGCATACATACACACATACATACATACATAGTGTAAAACACTTTCAACCAGCTATTATATTGAATCATGAACCAAAACGGAATATAACAATTTAACAATATTAAAATTAATCAGCTTGAATTGCACATGAATGAACAAAATATTTTTTGTTTGTAAAAATAGATTACCACTGAAATAATAAAGATGTTCATTTAAGATTTTTAATTTTCACTTTTTAAGTCTCTAAAATATGTTGAACAATATCTAAGTTTTTACCAAGTACATGTATTGGTTAAAGATTGAAATTTTGAATTTTTTTTTCAGGCATAACCAACACCAAAATACATGTTTGTAACTTTTTACTTTTCATGACTGTTCTAAACTTTCAGAATGTTAAAGCAGAATATAAATAAATCAACATGCACAAACTCATGCATTTCTGACAAAATATTATCTAATGGAAACTTTGTTTAATTTTTATGGCAAGTACAAAGCAAGTGAACTACAATTTGTCTGAAAAATTGATATTACATTGTATTAAAGATTTAAGGAAGAAATAATAAACAAGCTACATAGTCTTCTTTAAATATGTATATAAAACTTTATTTAATTTTACCCGTGAAATATGGTGCTATATCAAATATATTTCATATTTTTAAAAATAAATATGAAATATAAATATGAAAGTGGGCGGAGTCAAAACTCATTTTTTAAGTAACTATCTACCGCCGTTTTGTTTAAAAAATCTGATAAATACAAAACAACTTTTTGTTGAATTTTGTTTTGAAAACTATCTAGAATGATAACTAAGAAAATAAATCCGAATACCAATATCTTTAATTCAGTCATTAACGCAGTACAGACGTTTAAAGATTTGTTTACGTGATGTCACAATGTTGCACTAAATATCGTGTGCAAAACAAGACAATAATTATTTTACTGCGCGCTGTACAATTGCAGTTGCGTAACAAGCAAGGGGGATTGTAACCATTTTTCTTTGATAATGAAATTAAATTAAAAGGTTTTTTTTTTCGTTTTTCTTGAAATATTGTGTATATTTTCACTCAACATGATAAAATGCCACATATTTTCACGAGCCGGCAAGTTGGGCGCCATTGTAACTTCTTTGACGGATTGTGCCCAAAGGCGCAGCCTGTATAGACGAGAAGTGCTGACAAGTGAATTAAAATTAACCCGATTGGTTATTGAAGGATTTTTAGTAAATAAGTGAATTGGGTATTATTAAGTACAGATAACGTGTGGCGTTTAATAGACTTTTATCGTATCTTTACATATATCGAAGTGTTGTCAAAAGTATTTGAATTTCACTCAACTACCAATCACTACACTTAATTAGAGTTTGCTCAGAAAGCCAGTAAGTTTTGGCAAAAGTGCATCAAAGAGTGACTTAACTCCAGTGACTCTTGGTTGACCTTCACTGTTCTTGGCTGTGAAAGTGTCTCTCAAGACATCCTCACCAGCACGCTTATATATACTTGTTAAATGGCACAACCGCAACTCTGACCCAGCAATATTTTCTGCTTTAATTGGTAACCTGGGTATAACATAGGAGTTGAACTTCTGACCAGACTGTATGTTTACTGCAGCTATTTGTGTAATATGTGGCATGATACCACCACGAACTGAAACATAACAGTTTTGTGTACTAATTAATTTGTTTCTTCAAAACTACAAAAATTGTCAATTTTAAATCTATTAGGAAAAAAAGATAATAAAAAAACATTTGAGATAAAAAGAAATTTGCACAAAGTTAAAAAATATGCAATATGTTTAGACTGGTAAGTTAAAAAATATGCAATATGTTTAGACTGGCACTATAGCTAAATAATTTCATTTACATATCATTTTCTGTATGACCTTATTATTTTCAAGTAAACAAATTAATAATAAGGGTACTGTATGCTGGAACAGATTAAAAAGCAGGTAATTCGTGAATTCATTAGCTACTATAAAAAAGTGCTAAATGAAACTCGGCAATAAAAAAATACTTTACCAAAAAAATAATTTTGTGGAAAGTGGAACTAAATGGTTTCGAGACAAAATATTGAAGCACTTACTAAGGTCAGTAGTTTCTAGGTCAAGGGATATAGTTGTTGGTTGGCCAGACAGAAGTTTCACTGGCTGAGAGTTGCCATGAGGAATAGGATCTGGCAGCTTTTCCACATCAATATTTACTTCGTGACCAATTCCTATAAAATGTAAACATGTCTGTATTCCCAGACACAGACAACTCATTCCCGTCCTAGTTCGACATGGAAATCTTGAGGCTAGTTTGACTTTAGAATGTCTGTATTTCAGTGCTGCTGATGTTTTCATTGTAGAGCTTTGCTGCTTGGCAGGCGTTACAGGTGTTTTCATTGTAGAGCTTTGCTGCTTGGCAGGCGTTACAGTTGTTTTCATTGTAGAGCTTTGCTGCTTGGCAGGCGTTACAGTTGTTTTCATTGTAGAGCTTTGCTGCTTGGCAGGCGTTACACAGACACTTGGGGTTTGGAGCTCAAAACGCCTTTAAAATCCAAATAAAATGCATATTTGTCAATCCCAGCACATGTACTGATCATATATATCAAAAAAACTTAATATAAGCTGTTTTGAAAAAATTTCATATTTCAACATCTATAATAATACACAAGATAAAAATGTTCGCCGGAAAAAATCCGCACCCCTACCGTCATAATCACCATGTATTTTATTCCATTTCCAATATTATCACATAATCCTTTGGTCCATCGACACAGAAGATATAATTCTTCACGATGATGGTCAATTTTTAACTTTAACGGTAATATAAACAACGCAACAGCCGAAATAAACATCAATATTATCGCCGTTTTCCTTCAATGACATTATCTTTCGATAAATTCAAACGTGCCAGTCGGCTATGACCGAAGCCATCCGATTATGTGGCCCCAGCTTTGCCGTGTGCAAAATGCGCAGCGCTTTTAAGTGTAGGAACCACATAGAAAATATCAAATACGCAAATTAAATTCAACCACAACAAAAAATTATGACAACAATTACATGCTTTTTGGTTTCTTATCCTAGCTAATTTCTTTGTCATAAAATAATAAAAATGCAATACCGTTAGTTACGAAAGTGATCAAGGACGAAAAGAATATAAAGTGTACAAAATAATCAATCCCTTTCAGCGTATCAAATACATCGTATACAAATAATAGTTTACAGATAGGTTTACAGACACTTCACTCCCCAGACACTTCATCCTAGGCCCTTTTTTGCAGACAGTTCACCCCTCAGACAGTTCACCCCTCATTTTAAGAAATTTGATTGAGACACTTCACCCCTCATATTTTTTATTTTGTGTTTATCAATTATTAATGTAGAAAATGTTAAATACATTCAATAGCGATTGAGTATGTTTATTGTTTTAACCAGAGCAACAGATAAGGTGCGTATTTGCGTATTTACGCAATTAATTTTATAAAATACGCAATTGATTTTTAAAGAATGCGTATCAAAACCCATTAAAAAATACGCAATTGTCATAAAAACCCGTGCGTATTGTCAGTTTCATCACCGCAAAATGAATCCGGCGTAGAGTGTAGTTTTTGGACAAATTATATCGATATGCATCCTATCCTAATATGCCCGAATCAATGCTAACTAATCAACGGTCTCCGGTTTTCGACGGTCCCCGGTCTCAAAAGACCGACTAAGCCATATCAATAAAGCATGAGACCGTTGATTTGTCTACTCCGGTCGACGGTCTTTACAGACCGGCAGAGACTGTTGATTTTGCAGAGACCGTCAATAAGTAGGTCCCAGTTGTATCAATAGACGCTTTGAAAGCAATATGGCGTTGTACAAAAGGGAAAATGATTGAAACAAAACAGTCGTAAACGAGACAATTCCTTCTCCATTCATTTAGAAATCATGCGGGCTTAAAAGTCATTCTTGGTGGAGAAAGTGGAAATCATTGGTCAGTTATCCAGGAAACACTGCGAAAAAGACATGGATATACGGAAGTGTACGGAATTCCGTATATCATTGATATACGTGTAAGAATACGGGAAACCTGAAATACGGAGATGTACGGGATCGTATATTATATCAGTCCGTATATGACTAGTATACGAACTCCGTACACTCGTAATATACGGGAATTTTGATGTACGAAGTCCGTATTTTACTAATATACGGAATTTTTATGACAAGTCCGTATATTACTAAAATACGAAATTCCGTATTCGTGCAAATACGGATACTGTATATAGAAATAGCGAATGATAGCGTCAGTGCACAGAACGTGTAAGACATCCACCTGTAGCATGCAGAAGCGGTATTCTAGCTCAATACCGCTGTGTAATAGCGAATACTTGACAATTGCGATTGACGATTAGATAGTACGTTTTTGTATTTTGCATCTATGGTGAATCATGTTATTTTGTAATTTCTTTTTCATTATCATTATAATATTTTATGATGATGAGCCAAACATGAGAAAATGATAAATTTGAAATTGTGATGTTCAAAACATGAATTAATTATATATAAATCGTGAATCTGTGAAGCTGAAATCGTGAAAGTTAAAATAATTGTGAAATCACCAAGATAAATTCGGGATTGTCCACACAGCATTTAAATTTTACTTTAATATATCTCCTACAAAAAATAAGCTATACATAATATAATACATGTACTTGCATATGTAAATAAAAATCAACAATGATATCTCATTCATTCATTCATTCATTCATTCATTCATTCATTCATTCATTCATTCATTCATTCATTCATTCATTCATTCATTCATTCATTCATTCATTCATTCATTCATTCATCATTCATTCATTCATTCATTCATCCATCCATTATTCATTCACTGAATCAATCAATCAACCAATCATTCATTCATCTATTTATTCATTCATTTATTCATTCATCATTCATTCATTCATTCATTCATTCATTCATCCATCCATCCATCATTCATTCATTCATTCATTCACTCATTCACTCACTCACTGAATCAATCAATCAACCAATCATTCATTCATGTATTCATACATTCATTCATCACTCATTTATTCTTATATTTATTTTTTAATTTATTTATTTATTTATTTATTTATTTATTTATTTATTTACTTAATCTCTTTTTTCAGGAAACATAAAGATTTGCGTTTTTGTACACAAGTTTTGCATAAAAATCTTATGAAGTTCCGAATTCCCCAATTTTGATTCTTTCCGCGCGGTCTCATTTATGACATAATATTGTGTAATAGCCACGTGCTGTATTGCGATAATCGAAGCCAATACTGATAAAGCCGGATATTGATCCGGATATTGATCATAAACGCAGCAGGGTATAACGAGTGTCGCTTTTCTCTGATTACGTAAGTTAGCGCAATTGGTGTTGAATGTCTTAACGGTATTGTTTACTGTTTATTTCTAATATAATTCATGTACGAAATAAAGGAATTAAATTGTGATCTCATAATCGAGTCTCTATGTGATTTTGTTCCAGATATTATAAAGACTCGAACCTGACATGTTAAAATGAAACAGACATAGCTGCTGTATTCTTTCAAATGTTTTTGCAGCGTCGTGTTGTTGTTATCCTTTTATCTTGCGGAATTCGTCATTTAAACAAGACACAATTAAGATTTATCTTAAAGTAAATTTTGAAGTACCCTGCTGCCAGGTACAATTATATTTAAGTTAACAAGCTAGAATCAGATGGATGTCACTGGGGAGTATGGACATGCATTGTTGATAGATGATGTCAAATTATTCGAAATAGCATTTCTTGAAAAATATCATCCTCATCTCCCGAGTTTTCTCGTCTCCCATCAGCCGTGTTTCTGCATAAACGGTGACTTGAACAGGACAGGGGAACATGGCCGTGCTATGTAAATTAACATTTGTACCCTGGTTAAGATAAAATTATGAACAGTTTGAAACAGTTTTTGTATGAGTAAATTTCTGTTTAAAAAAAAACAATATATCGTAGTTTGTTTTAAAAAATCATGTTAAGAACATACTAAATTATATATTGATAGTAAAATCACTTTTTAAATTGGACTTTCGAATTTTTACCGATACTCAAAATATTCTTATACTGATAAAGTTTAATTTCAATTATGAAATCCGCAGATAATGTGAATGGATCTTTATATTTCATTTATGTGTATAAGTAAGTAAGGAAGGAAGGAAGGAAGGAAGGAAGGAAGGAAGGAAGGAAGGAAGGAAGGAAGGAAGGAAGGAAGTAAGTAAGTAAGTAAGTAAGTAAGTAAGTAAGTAAGTAAGTAAGTAAGTAAGTAAGTAAGTAAGTAATTTATTTTAATGACATGTGTAAACTTATTTTACAAATCTAATTTTACAACATATCAAATATACCCGGCCCAATGGGCCTATAAATCACCTCCAATAAACATAAAATATTTACATAAAGTCATAAGTGATTATATGAGCCCTGTCATGACAAAACCAACATAATGGGTTTGCGACTAGCATGGATCCAGACCAGCCTGCGCCTCCGCGCAGTCTGATCAGGATCCATGCTGTTCGCTGTCAGTTTCTCTACTTGTAATAGGGTTGGTAAGATCACAGCATGGATCCTGATCAGACTGCGCGGATGCGCAGGCTGGTCTGGATCCATGCTGGTCGCAAACCCATTATGTTGGTTTTGTCATGACGCGGCTCATTATAAACAAACTCATTTGTAAAAATCGTAGATATAACGTAATAGAAGTATTGTATATAATCATTGTGTAATAAATAGTTCATAAGATATGTGATTTATCCTATAACTGTATCTATAAATGCTTTGTCGTATTTCACAGTGTGAGAGAAATGTGCAGTCTGACCGAAACTTGAACCGGGGACTCCGATTGAGCTATTCGGCCGCTTACAAATCTTTTCCTGAACAGTGGCATAATCCCCTGCTTTATTAAAATTCACAGATTTACAGCAATATGCGAACTAAAACTCTTAAGCTATATGCAGCCATGGTGCTATCCGACCATTTTCTCCTCTTAATAGTGAACAGTTCTGAACCGTGACACATATGTCAATATTGTTCATGTACTAAAGTCAATAATAATTACAATTTTCAATGAGTATTTCATGTAATGTATATATCAATTATGATAACAGTTGCAGAATTACATGTGAATATGTATATATTATTTTGTAAGTTTTAAGATAATACATAATACATGTGAATATGTGAATGTTATTTTGTAAGTGCAAGATTGTTATTACTATACGTCAACATTCTTTGGCAGTGTGTAAATCATATCAGTCAAAATTGTGATACTGAAGAGTTTTTTTGTTTTTAAGAGAAATAACTTTGAGTGTAATGTACCTGATAAGAGACTTGTAAGTTAAATATTAATTTTGATATTATATGTGTACCTACGTGAAAAATTGGCAGGTAGTTTCTTTATCAATCAAATCGATCATCTCCAAACATTTGATGATTGTTGATATAATGTATATATGTTGAAGTCATACATACGTACTGAGCTTTCAACACACAAACATTAACTTAATTACAGTTGTCAAACTAAAATATATGATAAATTTTACTATTAATTATCAATCCTTTATTAAAGCAATTTAATATTTTAGAATTTTGGCAATTCGACTCAAAAAGAAAAGAAATATAAAAAATACATTCTCTTGATAAGTTATTTCTTATTATTATTAAAACACACATACATTTATTTAATTATGGTTGTCTAACTAAAATATATAATAAATTTTACTATTATTATTATTATTATTATTATTATTATTATTATTATTATTATTATTATTATTAAAAAATAAATAACTGATTAAAGGGAAAGACAAGGTTAGAATAAAAACTTGATTTCAGAAAAAGAATACTATAAATAATAAATCTGCAAATTTTCTGCCGCCAAATAATAATATTAAACGAATGATAACAAAATTTAAATCGCTAAATCACCGATTTCTACAAATCAGTAAGCGCGGCCATGTTTGTGTATTGGCCGTATAAAAACAGGTGCGCGTGATGTCATTTCCCCACATCTTTAGATTTATGATAATCTAGTTGAATCGTAGGGAAATATTAATATAATAAAGTATTGACCAGACAATTTAATTTTCACAGGAGGTGTAGAGGAGATTTTTTTATGGTTCAAAATACGTAACAATATCCAAAAAAATAAAAAAATAAAATAAAGAACAAAAAAAAATCAACGTCAACCGGACGCACCACCTCAGGCCAGTGATGCCCGTTACTCCAAACAATGCTATGTTCATTAAAGTCTCATCTTAATGTAATTAAACAATATTTCACAGATTTAATAAATATACATGTTATTATTTAACAAATTTTCACAATCAAATAATGCAATTAAATAAACAAACGCACCAACGAATAATTGGCTGTTAATTATTGAACGGCGATAATTATCATTATTATAAAAATCCTACTAAAACGTGTTCTAAATAGTACATGTAATTAACTTTTAGCAATTAAATGTAAATACGTTATAGCTCATATTGTCATGTTATTCATGAACTGAGTATGAAATAAACTTGTAAACTTGTAATTAACTTTTAGCAATTTGATTCTGACTTTCAAATTAAAAGGTGTGAACATATGTTATAATTGATGTACACATTTCAAAAATATAAGCAACTCTTTTAAAAAGTAAATTTTAAACATGTCTGTCAACGTATGATGCTGCGCATCGTAATCGTAGCCTAATATTAACTGCAGGCAAAACACTTTTATTGGCTGCTCAAAAATCTAATTTGCATAATTTATTCACACAATTGCTGTTCTTACTACTTATGTCTAATACTGTGCATTGTCCATTTTAATTGTTCCTAATTTGCACCAAATGTTCCTGTCACACTGTGTACTGACGATTTTTATTGCCCCTTGTATGCCTCTGTGCCGGCAGACCTTTTGATCATGCACAATGTTGCCCTGATTGGTTAATATCCCTTGTCAAATATTCTGATGACGAAATAGACATCTATTTTTTTTCATCAGTGAACTGAATGACCTTAGGGGAAATTTAGTTTCACACCTGTCAAATTATACTGTAAATTACAGCATGTCATAAAATAGCAACACATTTTTTTCAGTTACCAATAATCATTTTAAACATTAAGTAGATTTATGATTTTTTGTTTTACTGGATTAAATTTACGGTAGAAGAAATGCGTATCTGTGTGGGAAAGGGATTGGGTAAGTAGATAACGTGGAAAAAAGCTATAGGGAACTGGATAAACCCGAGAATATGCTTAATTACAGGGGAATGGGCAACCTGTTGCTGTTGGTACCAGTTTTGACTGGGTGCAATAACCTAACGGACAGTTTTGTTTTCATACGATATTCTCATTTTTAGCGTCAATGGCGGAAAATCGCGTCCTTAAAGATCTCTGCATATTGGATTTAGTTAATATTTTACGCTAAAAAAAAGATATATGACCGGCGATGTACCCTATTCGGACAGCTTGTCTAGCGAAAATTAAGTACAAAATAAAAGGATATATCGTCAATTTGAAGAAGTTTCTCATAGTACCCAAATTAAATTGATGGTTTATCTTTGAAAATTAAGCAATCATCGCTTAAATCATGTGGTGGTATCATCAGCAAGCTTGAAAATCGGACAAATGATAATTAATGTCGCGGCGTCTTCAATTAATTAATTAAAACAATTCAGTTCCATATGATGTTTTCATAAATAATATATAATGTACGCAATAAGATTAATAAGTTCTTCATCAAGATATATTTCAGTTGTACTAGCGTGTACACCTATACCGGAAGTGGGTGTAACACGTCACAATCTCGGTCTCGTCTGTCTCGCGAGAATGACAGAACGCCAAAATGGCGGCGCCCATGAACTTATTTCTCAAGTAAAAAATAGTGTCTTAAAACACGAATTTCTCACTAATAGGGTTGATGTCAACAGAAAAACTGTCATGGTACCTCTTTTTAAATGATGAATATTTATATTAGACATACATCAATCCATCCATTCCTATTCCTTTAAGCATTAGAATTAAAGTTTTGCCTATGAAAAAGTATCAATGCTTATGTTATACATGTATGAAAAGCGTTTATGGATACATGATATTTCCTATTTAATATTTATTAAATTTAAATTTATTTTGACTTAATATGCTGGTTTCTTCCGGATTATCAAGGACCTTAATATAAATCCGTGGCATTATTAATGCTAAATGCTTTATTGTACAAACGGTATCTAGGCATATCACGCGTTTTCAAAACAGCCAATGAGTTTAAAGCGTTGGTTTTGTATCACGTGAATCCTATCAACCAATCAGAAATAGCGCGGGCGAAATGAAAAAAGAAAAAAAAAACGCAATTGGAAATGGATGGTTAATAAAATTCAGAATATTGCAAAACAAGGTAGGTTAAAAGTTATTTTTTTATCGTTGTAATATCAATATGCGATCAATAAAATAGTTGCATTTTGTGAACAACAGCTTAATTCAGGGTAAAACTGATTTGTTTTTAGAAAACTTTAACACTTTATAATCTGTTTCGCTATTCAATATGGCCGCCGGATTAGATAATTAAAGCAGGATTATATCCCCAAATTTAGACTCTGAGGTTACGAGTTTGATTTTGATTTCTAAACTGTATCTTGTTTAATAAATAATTTGTTTGAAAATGCAAAAACCAAAAAAAGAAAAGGTTATTTCTAAAATACGTTAATCATAACTTCCCTTTAGGGTAAAAAAGACACCACGTTAAAAATTACGACATTTAAACATCGAAGATGTCAAGGTATTACAGCCCCTGGACATGGTAGTACAAAAGGATTAATCAGTGTGTGTGACACGACCTATGTATGCTTGATTGGTCAACTGATTGGACTTTATAATAATCTTGAGCGATCTCAATTATCACTTAAAATCAGGGGTGCGAGTCAATGCGCAATCAAGCAAGCTAAAAAGACACACTCAGATTCTATTTGTTTTAATAGTACTTTATGAAATAGATAGCCGAAAAATAGGTTATTTTTTTATCTATTCAATCAGGGTCTTTCAAAAAGACCTGATTCAAAATAATAACAACAATTATGAGATTTAACAGATTAACATATTTTAAAAGAAAATTGCTTAGTACTTCTAAAAAATATGTTTATAAATTTTTAGATAAAGTCGTCTTTCTCAGTCTTGAGTATTCAACGAGCAGAATACTTGTTTTATATCACAGTTTTTATTTTTATACAAATCCCCATTATTTGATGCAAATATAAGTCACTTTAAAGACTCCGCTCTTTTCATTTTTATTCACTTTTTTTTTTAAGTTTCTGTACACATGTTTCTATATATTTCTTATTTATATTAACTATATATAAATTAATACAAATCTGAAACAAAAATAGCAAACAAATATTTCTTTTTTCATTTATATCATCATACATTTAGATGAATAAAAAAAGAAAATATTTGTCAGAATTTTTTATTTACATTAATACAAAGAATGACAGATAAATACCCTTGATGTCAAAAGATATGCTTATATTTACATTGATACGAAGCTTAGTGTCGGTGTAAGAATTTTAAAACTCGTGCATATAAAATATAGCAACGAACCAGAAGTTTTAAAACGGTTTTGTTTGTATTGTTTTAGCATAATTAGTAATTAGCAAGATCGAGTTTACTCGCAATTCAGGACAGACAACTCTTTTTTCATTCGATATTCTTGGTTATCTACGTTGTTCAGGATAGCACATATTTTAAATTGTATATACATGAACTGAGTTTTCAACATTTATATTGGATTTTTTATTGGACACATAATTAAAATTTAAATATTTGTTTCTTATTATAATCAAAACATTTTATTTAGTTTTTAAGATAAACATTACGCATAAGGTGATATCGCATGGGTCAGTCACAAACACGCGCCTGTTTGAGGAAACAGTTATTTAATATTTTGTTATACATAAATTAACTGTATAGAGCCTTTGTACATCACAATTTTTTTCGACATTCCACTTTTTGACTTATATTTCAATAAAGCGATATGGTAACACACGCACGCACGAACACACAAACATACATAACTACACATGCACATAAAAGTGAACACGTTCCTACAGTATTAACACTCGCACATGTGATCACTTATGAAATATTTTCAATGTGCTCTTTATCAGTTTATGATGAAGTTATATTATGATTTTTTCAGGACAGTGTACAGCGTGTTTAAATCTTCCAGAAATGCAGCTGTGCCCTCTTAACAGCAATTATAGATGAAGCAAAGTATGGTAGCAAGTAATATAGATGTAAGTTAACGTATATAAATTGTTGTATTTTGTGAATAAAATAAGACAATTAGACGGACGTACTGTCTGTAAAGAAGAGTTACACAGACTCATATATTCCCATCCGTACTGACATCATGTATTTTAATCTTTCTCAAGGAAAAGTCAAATTTCCTTAATTACACGCATTTATTTTGACATGAATAAATGTGGTTAGTTATAAATACATTGGTTCTCTTTTATATCTTGTTGGCGGAATGATGTCATAAAATGATGTCAATTAAGGCATATAAGCATTTTGCTGCGCATTTGAAAATGCTAAAACATCCTTGCTTTTAATATGCAAAAATCAAATATATAAAATATATACAACTCCAACACACACAATTGTTTGATATCGATGCGCTGTGCATGCGACTTTATTATATTAAATTAGTTTTCTTTTCTTAAACATATTACTGTATCAAAAAATATGTATTTCTTCACAGTTTAATCACTTTTATATATGTTAATGATAGTAATTTTTTTATTTACTACGTGCGTAAGCGATAAGTACGCCGCTTTGATAATGTGAGAGTGACTTAACATTTTCTTTTGTGCATGTACACTAAAGTTAACAACCTTTGTCTGACTAGGTAAAACAGGGTTTTCAGAAGCGAATATAATGTAAGATAAGAAACAGAATTTGAAATGTCTTGATGGCAAAGTTAGTAAAGTCATTCGAATGTCATACACATTAAATTTTATCACGAGTTCGAGCCTCACAAGTTGTCTCACTTTTTTTTGCGTTTTTCTTACCATATATTTTTTTAAATTTTACATTAGAAAAATGAATTGGAATAGAAAGGTAGTTTTGTTATGATATTTAATAATTTAGATATACATGCACGGATGATAGTGATTTTTATCCTGTATAGTGTGTAGTATGTAGCAGTCATAGTACTTTTGCAGTGCAGAAGTATTTCGTGCAAACGTAACTATAGTTGAAACAGTCTGTGTACAGTATCATGCATTCCGTATAAATTTGCACCAACTTGCTAAATAGGGCTAAATACAGCTACATTTAAAACAAAATGAGAAGTTAATAGAAAATAGCACAGCATTTATAATCTTTGCAATAAATAATACAAAACTTTTTTACTTGATTGATAATTATAAAGCAATACTTTTGGGGAAAAGGTGCAATTCGAGCCTAGCTGTATTGCATTGATATTTACCACAACTTTACCTACTGCATTACGCTGAGAGTTGGTAAATTTGTTGATAATTTAATTTATATAGCTAGCCTGTTTGAAGATAATAAACACAATATGATAGCTGTTTTAAACCTGGATGTTGGACTTAACCACCTCGTCAATTAATTATTATACTAAACGCACAGTACTTGTGCGCACGTGAAACATATCATGATATGGCGTTGATACGTAAATGTTTCACGTGCGCACGTAATACTGTCGCATTCGCATGTATTAAACTAAAATATTTCCTATGTTATTTTATGCAATTGTCACATATGATACGTATATTTTCTGAATTTGATTTCATACAATCAGATTAATGCTATAGGCAAGGGAGGATATTTTGATTTATAATTTTTGTGAGAATTATCACTTTATTTTTAGTGATGGCACACTGTAAGAGATTCTATTGTCAACTTACCTAGTTAAACAGTCTTAACAATAAAAAAATATTAATATACACTATTGTATATTAAAGGTATTCATTCGTTGCTGTGAAGTTGTGATGAGATAGTTTTTGAAACAATTAATACTGAAACAAACAATAATCCAAATTTGTTAAGATTTAAGTTTTTATATAAATGAGAAGTATAGCTGGGTATCCCGCCTTTTACTTAACTGGATATCATTGTGCAAACACGGATCTACATCTGAGTAGCAAATATCTGTACATTTTAAACCATTTTTTTCAAACGAACTGACTCCTACTAACGATACTAATATACATAGTAAAACGATCAAAAAGATTATGTCAGCACTTTTTCCCAATGCAATGTTATTTTGTTTACATATATTTTTAATCAATAAAATACTCTTTACATAGAACAAAGATACCATTATAATTTATATTACAAGTGTGAAATAATATATTCGTAAAAGTTTCATAACAAAAACATATAACTTATCATCCGTCAAAGATTAATCATTTCATTTAAATCCTGTGTTAATGGTTGCTTATAAATGACATCTTTATTCGAATGATATAAGATAATTTTGAAATTTGCGTAAGAAAAAAAATTGTATATATGTATACGCTTAAAAAAATGCTTGTGTATAGACTTTTTGAAAGTTGTGATAACTATTTCATGACACTATTTAAACAGGATTTTAAACTCTCTTTTTTCAGATACACACGAGTATACACACATGCCGAAGAAGAATGTAATATCTGGAGAAAACATTTCCTACGTCACGAAATAGACACCGTCACACTGGCCTATAGATGATTGATATATTTAAGTGCTCTTAAGAACAGTGTTTGAATGACGAATTTCTGAAAATACGGATTTTTAATTTTAATGCTTATTATTAAAACTTTCTGTAATTATCCATTTGTGCCATGGACTCATTTCCCTAAAATAACATGTGAATGTTAACACGAGCAAATGATATGAATATCTTTAAAATGTTTTATGGGTGTAATATAAGTGGCTCATATGAATCATTGTTAAGATAAATCGAAAAGAACTTCAATTTAGCATAGTTTGTTCTAGATTTAAACAACATGCAATTCATAAAGGTTACGGCTTGAAAATATCGAAAAATGTACATGTATAATTCGATCTCTAAAGAAAATATCGCGGTGCGGATGTTCTACACCGTGATACGTATTTCATGACTCTGTATTGCAACATACTGGTATATCGCCGTTCCGTTGCAACGCTACATTAATGTGTCCCTCTGGAATAAGTATGACTATTGTAGCGAAGACATGTTTATTTGGTTATATATATGTATACATATTGAATATATGTTTATGAAATAATAAATATTTAATAGTGACTCGATTTGGTTTTTACTTTATTATTTGAAATACTCCAATTGTGAAGATAAAGTTCTTAAGCATATGACTTTACAGTTCCAATTCACAATGTGTAATCAAACATGTTCTATTGTACAAGCCTGCATTTCGGTCATGTATACGTGTTACTTATATGTAAATGCATGCTTTTGATAGTATCTGTACCTTCTTTTATCTCGATAATACAGTTCTGTATACCCTGTGTACAACTAAAAATGCAATTCCGTATATCCCCTGTATATATTGAAAATACGATTCGTATATCTTCTGTATATGTAGAAAATACGATTCCGTATATCATCTGTATATGTGGAAAATACGATTCCGTATATTATCTGTATATGTGGAAAATACGAGTCCGTATATCATCTGTATATGTAGAATATACGGTTCCGTATATCCTCTGTATACGTAGAAAATACGAATCCGTATATCCTCTGTATATGTAGAAAATACGGTCTCGTATATCCTTGGTATATTTATAGTATACTAGGGATAACAACCTTGATAAAGTCCGTATACGGGATTTTATTCTCCGTATACTTCAAACATACGAACAAATATACGTACATGTATATGGTGCAAATACGGAATTCCGTATATGCCTGATGCATATACGGACTTCCCGTATACTCGGTGTTCCCTATACGGACTCGTATACTTGGTCCGTATATTCGACAAATACATCCCGTACACGCCCGTATATGTCAAAAATACGGGACCGTATATTCCCGTATATCAGTATATTTTTCGCAGTGAAAGCCAGTTACTTTTTTAATAGGTTGACTGACCGCGGATAAATATCATAATAATGTATAACAATTGATGTTAACACATACCAAACAAACAAATCCATTTCTTAATTTCGTTTTCGAAAAAATCATTCAACTAGAGAGCAATCTTTACCATTGGTCATTTTAATAGTGGTCTTAATATTTTATTTATCATCAATTTGGATTGAATTATTTGCATGCTATAATACGACTTTAATAATATGGCTTTTCATGTAGAAACTAATCATGATGTTATGACACTTACGTTTGAGGAGTAAGTATATTTGCTGTTGGACACTATTCCCCACAAATTAAGACTTAATAACCGAATTGTTTATATAGTATTGTTTGTCATGCATTACTTATAGAAGTAAAATGTATGTTGATTGTTATTTATATAGTTGTTACGCGTCAAAATCAGTAAAAATGAGTTAAATCACTAAACTGCATGAAGTAAATATAAAATTTGTTGTTTTTTATTTGTTTTTTTTTTTTGCATCAGGCGTTCACTCGGTGAAATATATTTCGATTCTTACATGCAAAACAAACAAATATCCTCTATATATAAGCCCCCATTTAATCGATTTTTAACTGACAATTTTTTTTTCTGTCAACAATAACATTTTGACGCACAAGACACTTTAAATGTACTTTATTCGACGCTGTCTTTGAAAGAATATTCATTATAATACTCTAACTTTGTAGATTTTATATTATTTATTATTATATGTTTTATTTATGTTTGAAATATGGGTATATTAATGATACACATTTTTGTAGCATTACAAATGTGTACTTTAAAATATGTGACATATCATTTATTTTTTTACAATATGAATATTAATTTAGGTTGTACTAGGGCTGTATGATAACGCTGTAGACTGTCTTTGTGGGAAGTAGTAACGGCGTAATACAGCGCTGAAATAAACATACAAGTCATACAATAAATAGTTCATTTGTTACACACTACAAAAAACAACAAAAACAAACAGATTATAAATATAACTCATATTTGCGAATTAAAGTTAACACAGTACATCAAAGTACCCAGGGGCACGAAGTCACAAAACAAGGCAAAATATATATAAAAAATAACAACCCTTTATCTTTGTTTTCACCTGGTTTTAGCGACATACATGTGTGTACAGTACCTCGGAAGTAGCGATAGAGCAATTCACCGTATATCTCCGAAAGAGGTAGCTCTATCGTATCAGTAGTGTAATCAACTTCAGAGTCGAATATGTTGGTAGTTGAATTGATGAATATTTAATCTGAGTGTTCATCCATGAAATGATCGTCCAAATTCAACTTTTGCCTACATGATTAAAGGCACAATAGCGTCTGTCATAGCCAATCTAATGATCCACATCTTCTGCTGTATAAGTCAGAAATTAGACATTATAGACATAATAATAAAGCTTTTTTGGTACAAGTCCTAAGGGGAAATTAAAGGATGCTAAATACCAAAATTGCGTTTTATGATCTCATTGATAGCATATAACGGAAATAACGCTGACCTTAACATAGTTTCAATAAATGTAACCACGCTTGAAAATAAATGAGTATTATGTTTAGAAATATGAGTTGATCGTCGTGATGATTATCGTTGAAAACAAATGTTACCTTCAGTTCTCAACTTTTGACCATTTAACTACTGTACTATGGTTTCCATGCACAAACAACGTTTTTACAACACATTATGTAAACATTGAGAGCAGTAAACAACAACAACAACAACAAAAGAAAAAACAAAAACAAAAAAACACACACTTTAAATTCGTACATATAAGACATACCATAAACAAGTGTGAAGTTCTTAAATGCAAATCATTACACCAATTAGCTGTACAACGTTGGTGTATTTTCCCATTTCCAAAACATTGACATGTAAATATGCCATTAATATGTAATTTTAGATATTAAATTCATTAACTATAGCTGAAATAGATCAATTATCATGGAATTTTAAAATAGCTGGCTTTCAAGCAACTGTACACAGTTTTAATTTATGCTCCATGAGTTAGGAAACAACACCAATAAAATTGCGTTGATTTGTTATTTTTACCTAAACCACTGTGTGCACACCAGATATTGTTTAATTTTCTTAAGCTCACATGATTATTCTTCAAAATATCAAAAGGATTTTCTCGTATATTATATGTTAAGCTTGGAATCGGTTTCCAAAGTCAACAATTGCGACATTGCTTTAAGAATCAGTGTGAGAAATCGTATACATATGTATTACGAAAAATATAGGTTTTAGGCCAGAAATGATGTCTTTTATGTACTTCATAGTTATAAAAGTAACAATTCCTCTATGATTGTGATCCATTATTGAACTTGTTTATCAATTTTCAGTTCAAAATCTGCGATTTTACACGTTTTGCTCGCCCGCAACCAGAAGCTTTAGTGGACAAGGAGTCTACGATGTGATTCCGTTGTGCATATTATCAAAGGAAATAATTTCGAGTCGAAAGAAAAAAATGGCTGCCATTTACAAATTCTAAGTTTCAGGGGTGGAGGAATTGTTTCAGAGAATTATTTCTTTGAACAAGCGCAAACCTTTTCCCCCGGATTCCATCTAGATCTATTTGTTTTGTATTAGAAACATGAATTTGGTTAAAGTTTTATGCTATAAAAGTGTCAATGCACGTTTTTCCGCTTTTATAATGTCTGCAGTCCCTCAAAACGGTTGGATACCTCGCCCTACCGGGCAGATGCTATATACGGAAAAACGTGCGTAAACCCTATAATGGTGGTAGTTTAGGTGAAATTAAATTAACTTAACACTTTGTCAATTGTGCTTTCAATTTTATAGCAAACATCACCCGAGTAACCAATAACCCCCGCGACCCACATAAATATCTATACAAATATTTTTCGGAAAAATATCAAAATATTCATTTTATAAAGAAAAACAGTGGGGCAGCATATTTTATATTTTAGGCAGTTTTTATATTCTATCCTAAATATGTGTCAGCATCAATTACCAATTATTGTTCAATTGTCATTAAATAACAAATCTCTTGAAATATATAATAAATCTCAGCCTACAGTGAAAAACAAATTAACATTTTGTTTCGCTCGAGCTTAAATAATAAATTATATCAAACTAAATGCGATGATGACAGGGCTACAGTACGACAGTGTTCTGGAAAGTTGCCATATGACTTTTATTCTGTTAGTGCGACGTAAGACCAAAAAAAAAACAACAACAACAACAAAAGACAGTGCTACATTACCATGGCGACAGTTCATCATCGTCATGGCCTACATTATGTCTCTTAATGAACTGGCCCTAAAACTTGATACAAATTGTGAAAATATTGCCATATTGCCTACGTGAAATACAGAACATATCATTTCCGTCACTGTATAATTGAAGTTTCATGAATTCCTGCATTGGAATTTTTAATATTATTTTTAGACAAAACGAAATTACTGTTGGAGTAATAAACCGAAACGTGTAATGTATATAGATTGTTCCTATCTCTTGTGTATTGTGTTTTGTCATTTTGTTATACTTACCAGTCATGTATAAACTTCCTTCATCATTAAATTGTTCTTTCCCCCTGTTTTCTTGTTGGGAGTTATAATAAACAAGTACTCTTCACAAAACATGCTAAGGGAGGTCCTTCTTCTTTAGGTGTAGTAAGGGGTCATTTGGATCAAGGTCAATGTTACCAATGTCAAGGTCACCAATGTTAAAAATAGAGTTTTACATTTTTACAGGTGTATTGACCTTATTCTATAGATAGATGTCATTTATAATTGATAAAAACATAAACTTTGATGGAGTTAGTGGTCAGTTGGGTCAAGGTCACCAGTGCTAAAAATTGATTTTTACACTTTTGCCCATACAGCCTTTATTTAATGACAGATGTATTTCATATTTGGTAGGAAGATAACTTGCATGAAGTTGAATAGTTTTCAACTTCACAAGTCAGAGCAATGACTTGGCAACTTATATTTTTCACAATTACAAAATGCCATGACTTTGTCAAGCTATATAACTTGTGTTTACAATTTTTTGGCAATTTTTCTGTCCATAACTGAGTGAATTGGTAAACATTTTTTGAAATATTGCTACTGACAAGAATCTGAGCCGGGGGCATTTGTGTTTAACAAACACGTTCTTGTTTTTAAAACATTTTAGCTCGTCTATTCGAAGAATAGTGGGAGCTATTGTACTCATTCCGGCGTCGGTGTCGCT